GGGGGCAGCACAGGGGGCTCCCAGGGAAGGCAAACCCTCTGTCTGAGAACCCCCAGGGCTGGGAGCAGGGACAGGCCCTGCTGAAGCCTGCTCTGACACATCCCAGCCCAGCTGCCCGAGGAGGGGCCTCGCACAGGGCAGGGAGACTCAACTCTGCTGTTCCTGCGTCTGGGAGAACAATAAATAAACCTGTGGGAGGCACCAGTGGGATGAGTCAGAGGCAGAGTGAGAGAAAGTCGTCATGCACAGAGCACATCATCCGTGTCCAGCGACCCACAGGGCTCCAGGGGTTCGTGTCAGGGGGTCCCTGTGCTGCTCCAGCCCCCGATAACCCCCTGCCAGGGGGGCAATGGGCACAGCCCCACCAGCGGGATGGCCATGCCTGGGGGGCTGCAGCCCCTCCCAGCCCTGGGGACCAGCAGGAGCACAGCTGGATCCATCCAGCAGCTGGAGAGGAGGGGATGGGGCATCACTGAAACCCCAGGAGGTGCATCCAGCTCCTGTTTCCCCCACAACCTTGGGCAAGCTTTGCCTTTTCGGGTGCATCACCCTGGGGCAAGGAGGTGCCCAGGAGAAATGCTCCAGCTGAGACTTCTCCCATTTGTCCCAGGAGAAATGCCCAGCGCAGGGCAGAGAAGCCACAGGCGTCAGGAACAGCAACACCAGATCTGCTCCCAGCTGGAAACGTTGTCAGAGCGTGGAGTGAATTTAATCAGAGCAGAGCCCGAGCCCAGACTCCGGCGCTGCGGATGTTGTGCGTGTCAAATGAATTTCAGTGAGTCTCCATTTGCCAGGCACAGATACAGCCTGCAGGCAATGAAAGGACAAGGCAAAAAGCACCAAGAAAGCATCAAAAAAGCAACTCACATGGCACAGTCTGAGAATTAGTAACTACAAGGAAACTTCAGGCCCGCTGCAAAATAAGCAACTTCAGTGTCAAGTTGACATCTTGGCAGGGAGAGCACTTGGGGAACCTGCTCGGCCCTGTGGCCTCACAACTCAGCATTTCACACGAGTTTTGCTCTTTCCACTCAGCTCTTGTTAAACTCAGGGCTCTGAGGCTCAATGCAGCACTTGCAGAACACACAGGGGGCTGAGGCTGTCGTTACCCAGGAATGCAGAGGTAGGGAATTGTCAAAGCTGTCAGCAATCTCAAGAAGGAATAATCAAACTTACCATAAAAAAGGAGAGAGCTCTGTAACTCCTAGACTGATGTATGCAAAACAAAAAGAAGAATGCAGGAAGCTTGGCTATAAAGACTTGGGTTTAGTCTCATCAACCCAGCCATTAAATCAGAGGCAAAGACACCTTCATCTGCACTTTGGGAGCCACAGAGATGTTTGTCTGCTCTGACAGTGCTCAGGTTTGCTGGCTTGCTTTTCAGCTTCCTACTTTTATTTAATGCCCAAAGGGACATTAAATATCAAATAACAAGTGAAACACACACTGTAGAACTCTTACAAAGCCTCTTCTTCCATCATTTCCCAAACCCCATGGAGAATGTGAGGTGAAGAACTGCCTGCAAGAGCTGAATCATGTCTTCAAGCACAAACATTGCTATTAGGTGACTAAGACCTAAACAGCCATCTCTATTTATTGCAACTGATGCTGTTATTAAAAACCAGACAGGTCCCTCTGCAGCCCCTCGTGCTCTCAGGTCTATGTGTGCTGGTGAAGCTGCAAAAGGCAGGTTGGAATAAAGGGGATGATTTGTGTAGCATCCAAAGCACTTTGGAAACCTGGGAGTGTTCCCAGAGCATCCTGGCTGGGGACTGCTGGGGTGACAAGGGGCATCTCTGAGCCTGAGAATCAGACAAGTGAATCCACCAGAGCACAGGGAAGGCCTGGTGGAAAGGGATGTTGTGCCAGGTGGGTTCTAGAGGGGTTCTGAGCCGTCCCTGGAGCAGGAGGCAGCAAGAGAAAATTTGCAAACCTGCCTGTGGGAATCAAGCTGGCTTTGGGAAGAGCCTGAGAGCATCAAGGGCACCATGGTGGGCACAGAGAGGGGTGCCCACCCTGCCCAGAAGGACATCTAGGGCAGGCTGAGATCAAGCATTCACATTTGAACAAATTCATATTGGGAAACCTGATTTTCACTGGATTTTCCCCATCCATCCCCCTCTGCTGCTCCATCTCCTGAGAACGCTGCGTCATCCAAAGCCTTCGCATTTCCACAGAGTGAAGTGAAGCAGAGCTGAGGGAAGCCAGGCTCTGCTCCCCCTTCCAAATGTTCCCAGCACTGGGAGGGAAGCCAGGAGCCTTTAGGAGATGTTTAAGGAGCTGCAGGTTGGGCTCCTCCTGCTCAACAACATCTCCCACCACCCTCCTGGCAGCTCTGCTCTGACCTTTGGGTATCACCAAATAAACACTCTCCAAAAAATCAAACCCAAACTCCCTCCAGTCTGAGCACTCCCAGCTTTAGGACAGCTCAAGCTGCTCACAGTGTTTCATCCCTGCTCCTGTAATGAGGTTTTTCATGGACATAAAATTTAATGAAAACGTGAAAACATCTCACAGACAGCAAATTCCAGCCCTGTGGCTCAGGAAAATCTGCTCTCCTGGTTGACTGCCTAATTTACACCCCCAGCACTGTGCAGGGTCTCAGTGCAGCTGTAGGATCAGTGTTCCCATCCCCACTGACCTGACTGCAGCCATTCCAGGGTCCTGCACTCACTCCTGTCCAGGAAACTCCTGGATCTCCCTGGGAGTGAAAATTCCCCAAACTGAGCTTCATTTCACCCTCCTGAAAAGGGAGATAAGGTCACACCTGAGCTGCTGGTGCTGTGTTTGCTGAAACCTGGGGCTACAGGTGATGGAGGGATCACCCCAGGCAAACCTCCTGGAGCTCAGGGACTCACTCACTCTCCCCTTCTGCAGTCCTTGCCTTGCTGCTCCTCAGCTTTCTCCCAGTGGGACTCCACCAGGCTCTATGGATAAATAAAAACCCACATCCAAGAGCTGCCTGTGCCCTGGCTGGGGCTGGGGAGTGTTAATTTTATATATTTGGTATCAAAGTTGCTGCCACCACAGAGCAGAGTTAAAGGAATGGCTTCAGCAGGGCTGCCAGCACCACGCTGGGCCTAGTTGCACCAGGGATGATACACACGTGGGGCTGATTATTACTATTATTTTATTATTCTAAAGATATTCAATTTTTAATGTGAGAGGTTTCAAACGCTGGTATTTATTTGCTAATTATTAAATTATTCAGCTGGAAACAGAATATCTTCAAAGAAGGAATTTTTTTTCCCCCAGAATGGCTATCTGGAGTTGCAGGGCTGTATTATTGTACATGAAAAAAATTTCCTTATTAGCCTTTTATTTCAGGGCACACATTTAACTGACACTTCCCGTGCTGACAGCTCACCCAGCTTCAAAGCACAACTTCTGTGAGGATTGTAGTGTGAGGTTGGGCTGGATGAAGCTGTGGCCCAGCTGACACATGAGCCCTGGGGAAGTTTTCCCTCTTTTTGAGAGCCTGAAGCAGAAATACACACTGGGAATTGAACACTGGGAGTGTTTTGGGGTTTTTCAGTGGGGTAAGATGCACTTCCAAGCTGTGAGCAGATTTTGGGAACCTGGCTAGTTCTGTAATTCCTCTGTTCCCTTTATCAACACAGCTGGGAGAGCTGAGCAGCTCAGCCAGAGCTGGGGATTAACCCTGGAGCCCTCAAGGCAGAAATCAAAGCTCTCCTCCATGTCCCTGGGACATCGGGCTAATCCAGGCTGCCCTGAGGATGCTGCAGGGAGCCTTGCAATGGTCCAGCCAAGACAAACCAGAGCAGTGCTGTGCTCTCCTTTCACCCAAGGATGCAGAACAGAAACGCACCCTGACCTCTGAGAAATCTCAGAATTAAACAGAACCCACGATCTCCCTGCTCTCCCAAGGAGGCTGGAGCTCCCCCAAGGCTGAGCACCCCAACCCATCCCTCAAACAGCAGCATTGCCACCCCCCAACCCTGCCCTGCTGGGACCCCAGAGCCCCTCTCCCCTCAGTGCTCCCCAGCCCCAGTGCCAAAGCCAACTGTCCCCTGCTGACAGCTCCATCCTGTTTGTGGTGTCTTTGGCACTTCCCCCTGCAGCACTTCCAGGCCCCTGTGGCTCCCCAGCCCCCGTGGCTCCAG